ACCCCACCCTGCGCTGCGCTGCTCTGCTGGGAAGTGCCACTGGGGTGCCAGGATGCAGGGGCGCTGGGAGGAGCGGGGATGCGGGTGGAGGGGCTCATGGTGCGGGCTGCGGGGGACCGCTGCGCAGGCAAGGCAGGGCTCCTCTGGCACACGCACGTGCCCTTCTTGCACACGCCCAGGGCCCTCTCGCACGTGCGGGGGTCCCTGCCAGGTGTGCGTGGGTCTATCTTGCGTATGCATGGATCCCTCTTGCACATGCAGGCGTGCTCACGTGCACGGCTGACACCTCCTTGCACACATGTAATACTCAGGGTCCCTCTTGTACACATGCACATGCTTATACACAGCACACGCACGTGCCCTTCTTGCACACGCCCAGGGCCCTCTCGCACGTGCGGGGGTCCCTGCCAGGTGTGCGTGGGTCTATCTTGCGTATGCATGGATCCCTCTTGCACATGCAGGCGTGCTCACGTGCACGGCTGACACCTCCTTGCACACATGTAATACTCAGGGTCCCTCTTGTACACATGCACATGCTTATACACAAAACACACACACACACACGCACGTGCACACACTTGCACGGCTCCCCCTCCTTGCACACATACACACGCATATACACAAACGCGCACACACACTAGCACAGCTCTCCGTGCAGCTTCCACGCTCCCTCCGCATGGTGAGCCCACCCGCCCCGTGGCTCCTGCCCCTCCAGCGATGCCTCTCGGTCTCCAGGGCCCCAGAGCGAGCCCGGGGCAATGGCACATCGTGGGGCTGACCTAGCCCTGGGCATGGGTGGGAGGACTGGTAGGGTGTGAGAAGGCACCGGTGAAGCCGAAATATCTGGCAGCTGCCAGTCAAGGGTGGTGCTGGAGTAGGTTGAGAATTTAGCCCTGGGAAAAGGCTCTCCATCCCTGAGCACCAGCTGATTTGGAGGGCATGAGACTTCACTGCAGCACGCTGGCACCCCTCAGAGCCCCCCAGATCGTGCCCCACACCAAGGACCTGATCCTGACTGCCACCCTTGGGGCATTCCCACGGTCACAGAGGTCTCCCGCTTACCCATGTCTCTGCTGCAATGTAGGGGGCCATCCCCAGATCCCCAACCCCTGCCCCTTGTCCAAGCCGGGCAACCCCCACGAATCCCAGCTTTTATTGCCCTGGAGCATCTGCATGAGGCAAAGTTCAGGGTGGCGGGAGGTGGTGGGGCCTGACTCACAGTGCGGTGCCACCTCTTCCTGTCACACCAGGTGACGTGCTGGGCAGCTCTGTCCTTAGCGCCCAGCCCGGTGGCGACCCAGCCAGCCTGGGCAGTGCTGGGCTGATGGTTTTTGCCACAGTAACCCTGGCACACTAGCGGGGACTGGCTGCAAAATTAAGCTTTGCTCGGGGACTCACCAGCCCAGTGCTGTCTCCGGGACCCCAGACGGTGGCATGGACCCCCATAGGTTGACCACCTGCCTATGACCCTCCCATAGCGATCCTTGCTCATCTCCCCTGAGACAGAGACTCCCCTGGTCTGGGAAGGAGGAGCTTGGAGGATGCTCAGATGCAACCAATTTGGGGTGTTTCTGGGAGGGGCCTATGGACATGGCAAGGCTTGGGGGAGCCATGTGCATTGACGTCCCCCCCACCTACTCTCCCAGCCATGCCGCAAAGTGCACTGGGAGCCCAGGTGAGCTGGGAAGGGGCATTAGCTGTCCAAGCCACAATTAGTCAGCTTAATGAGCTGGAAAAGCAGCCTTCTGCCCTTGCTGGAGGAGCAGAGGGCTCAGCAACGTTATGGGGCCCTGGCCCTGCTGGCCTGTGTGCCAACGGGCGATGGCAGGGTCCCATGTCACTGGGCCCAGATATCCCCACTCTGAGCCCCACAGAGGAGATCAGCTGGACCAAGCAGGGACCCCTGCTTACCCTGCAGCTGTGTGCATGTCTGTGTGTGGTCCCTGCCCTCCTCTGGGATCCCTGTCCTCCTCTGGGGTGCCAGGGTGCCTGCCAAGCCCAGCCCTTTCCCAGGGAGGTGTCCCACTGTGCTGCAGGTGGCTGTGCTGTGGGGCTGGGCCAAGGGGGTCCCTTCAGGCTTCTGAGGTCAGTGGAGACCCCTGGGGACCTGCACCCCCTGGTCAGGAGCCTGGACGCACCCTCTGATGAGTGGTGGTAACCCCAGGGCGGAGGATCCTTTTAAGGCACCACTTCTTGCTCCCTTTCTCCCAGCCTCCATTTGCTTCTCTTCTTCCTCACTGCAGGCTCTGACTGGATGCTGAAGAATGAGACATCCGTAGGGACTTCTGCTGCTTCCCAGCTCAGCTGCCTCCTTCTGGAGGTTGTTTTTCTCAGCTGGGCACCTACAAACCTTCCCTTTCCTCATATCTGCTCCGGGTCCTGGCAGGAGGGGGTGAGTGGGTGCGTCTAGGGGTATAGAGGAGCAGGGAGGGACATGGAAGGGGGGATCTTGTATCCCAGGAGGGATGGAGACAGAGGACATAGTCTGGGGTGGGCAAGAAGCAGAATAGAGACATCTGTCCTTCCCCACAAGCCCTCCAAAGCTTGCCAAAGGTGCTTCCAGCTTCACTATGCTCATCAAGTCACTTGCGGCTCCCCTTACTCCATCTCCCACCCCACTTCCACCTCTTGGTGCCCACAGCTCCCCAGCAGAGGAAGGAAAAGCCCTGCACGCCATGAGTTGCACGCTACTCTGTTGGCTCCCCTTGGTACCTCCTCCCTGCAAATCCATCACTAGTCTTTGCTGTTCAGCACAGCTCCACATCCTGATGTCCTTCCTGTTCCCGCCGCATTTCCTCCTGCCCTTCAGCTCCCTCCTTCCCCAGTGCTCCTCTGTGGGATCTCTAAAGAGGGAGGTGCTGTCACTGTGGTCACACAGGATGAATTGCCTGTTGCCAGGGCCATGGAAGATTGTAAGAAGGTCCAGAAGTCTTCTCCCTTGGCACAGGCAGGCCCTGCCGTAAGTGGCACCCCCCCCCCCCATTTTTGCTGCCCCCTCTGCTGTGGTTCCTGCAGCCCCATAAGGCCAATCTACCATTCCCCTCCTGATGACCATGGCTTCCTGCCTGCAATCACAAGGGCTCTTTCCTTGCAGAGAGTGGAAGTGCATGTTTCCCTTCCCAGTGCTGCACAGGAGCAGCTCAGCCCATCCGATGCTAGCAGGGTGCACGGCAGGGCCCTTGGCCCTGACGCTGGGCAAGGAGGGCTGCGGCCAGGCCATACAGTTGTTGGAGGGCAGCAGTGATTCCATCTGGGAGGGGGAGAATATCTCAGAGAACAGTAGTGAGGCTCTGGTCATAGTTATTTTGGTCTTCAGAAATCTGGGGTGCTGTGACCTCCTACTAGATCTGTTACTCCGAAGGGAGAGGGCTGGTCATCATGCTGTGAAGGCAGATGTGTCTGCAGAGGGTCTTCAAGTCATGGAGAATTTTCAGAGTATGTAGTTCCCTGGGGAGTCTTTTAGGAAGGGAAAAGTAGTCTTAAAGTGCTACTGCAGAAACATAGTGCCTCAGGTAGCTGTTCCCTGCAGGCCCCGTACCACTTAGGAGACACCTGAAACAGCGCAAATTCCTAAATAGGCTTGCTTGCAAGAGGAATGTGGATGTGATACAGCACCTATTCACATGCTGGGAGGCTGGAAGACAAATGCAAACAGTAATGAATAATCTCAGAAGCATGCCAGAATCAGGGTAGGATGGAAGGGGGAGAAGACTGGGGCACAATAAAACAATTAGGAAGGTGGTAATTATCAGTCTAAGGAGATATCAGGTTGAATCGTAAAAGCACCAAGATTCTTTCACAGACAGATGTAACTGCTGCAATATTGGTCCTCTGGGGTATTCTCTTGGACAAAACATTTCCGTTCCAGCAAGACCAACAGAAATCCGATGAGGGAAGAGGCTCAGTGATGTAGTCTGTATCTCTGAAACTGCCCAGTGCTCTCTCACCACCTGATCTTGCAGAAACGCCCCAGAGAGCAGCATTATTTGGAAGGACACAAGAAGTGATTGTCTACCCAAGTCTTCTCAGGACTCAGAGACCTGATTTCTCCTTATCTGAAAAGATCAAGCAAGGAGACCCAAAAGGAGGGAGCGTGCCCTGCTTGGATGTGGGAGAAGATCAGCTCCAGCCTGCTGCCTGGAAAGGTAGGGGATTGCGAGACTGCAGCCCAAGCTATAACGAGCTGCATCAGTCTTTCTCCGTTTCTCTTCTGAGTTCCCTCCAGCCCCTAGCCCTTCTCACCCACTCCCACACATATCCTTCCTCTGGACATCTTGGAGCCTGTCCAATCTCTCTTCCACATTCGCCTCCCTGAACATCAGTGGCAAAGCAGCCTCTCCAGCTGGCCACGTCCCCACCCATCCTTTTGCCTTCGTGTCCTCAGCCATCACTGTTTCCCCTGTCACACAGGACCTCTGTCCCCTGGACATGTCTCACTTGCCTGCCGGGGGTCCTGCGTGGACCTCCCCCTCCAGCGTGGGGAGCAGGCAAGAGGCTGCACGGCTCAGCTCCCAGCATCTCGGAGTCACTAACCCAATTGTCTCTGATCACAGCCGAGAGACCAGTGGGCGGGACTGGGGGGGAAGGGACCCGCCCTCTGGCTCCTCGGCTTCCGCATCCGCAGGAATCCTGTCACCGTTTACATCCTCAACCTGGCCTTTGCAGACTTCACCTTCCTCCTCTTCATGCTCACCTCCGCCCTGTTATACATCGTGGAGAATGTCTCCTGTTCCACTTTAGAGCTCCTGAACTATCTGAGGCCACTTTTCCTGCTGTCTCTCTTTGCCTACAACATGGGCTTATATCTCCTGGCAGCCATCAGCATTGAGAGGTGTGCATCCGTCCTGTGCCCACTCTGGTATCGCTGCCGCCGCCCTAAGCGCTTGTCAGCCATTGTGTGTGCCCTTCTCTGGGCTCTCTCCATCTCTGTAATTGCTACAGTGACTTTTCTCTGCATATCTCACCACCATGAGCACTGCCAGCTGGCTCTCATCTCCATGTATGTCCTCACTTCCCTTATTTTTGCCCCACCTATGGTCATTTCCAATGTGATCCTCTTTATTAAGATCCTATGTGGCTCACAGCGACGTCAACCCAGGAGGCTCTACATCGTTATCTTCCTCACAGTCCTCTTCTTCCTCCTCTTTGTGGTTCCCCTCAGCATCTGGAACTTCTTACAGCAGTTTAACTATGTCGCCGGGCAGTCCCAGATTGTTTTCTTGCTAGCCTGTATCAACAGCAGCATCAACCCATTTATCTACTTCCTGGTGGGGAGCTACAAGAGGCATTGCTCCTTGGTCTCTTTGAAGGTTGCCTTCCAGAGGGTCTTTGAGGAAACGGTGGTTACCACCATCTCCAGCTAAGAGACCGCTGTGGCCACATCAGCTGTGCTACCTACGCCCGCTTCATGCTCAGTTGGCAATGTGTCATTGTGGCCGATTTCTCTGGTGCCAGGGAATGCAGCTTACCTTCCTGCAGCTGGAGTGTCAGGAGGCCTCCCTGTCCCAGGTCTGGACTAGCAGCAATGTCTGTCCTGCTTCCAGCAGCTGTTTCCTTCCGTTTTCTCTCGTGCTCTTCTGCACAAGAAACCTGGCTCTCCACGAGATTTGTTTTGTTTGGGACTCTGCTGCTTCCCTCCGGCAGCCCAGCTCTGAGGAGAGCAGGAAGGAATACAAAGAGTTTTGCTGCCCTCCAGTGTGAGAACAAGAAATCGGAGATTTCAAAGAAGCTCTTCTGAGACAATGCATTTGTCACTCAGAGCAGTCTCTCGGGGAAGGGATGTTTTGAGATTTGGTGGTGAAGGGGCTCTCTGCAACACTGCGGCATGGCCCCATGGGCCCAGACCAGCTCCAGAGATACTGTTCCCCTGAACACAGATGTGCCCCAGAACCGTCAAATATGCTGTCAAATAGCCCAGCTTCTGCTTCCCAGGATGGATGCTGCATTTGGAAATCCCAGACCCATGTTCAGAGTAGGAATAAAATGCATGCAATGTCCTAAGTCCTTCTCCCCCATCCCACCTCCAAACCTGCACAGGGTCTCCCACACTCTGCTCTCCCTCCTATTACCAGAAACACCTGCAGGGCAGGGGGTCTGCTGCTCCCTTGCAATGCTTTGCTGATGCCCACAGCCCTCCCCTCACCCAAATCCCCATCTCCTATATCTCACTGCTGCTTGACATCAATAAACAGTGTCGTGCATCCCTGAGCTGCATTTTATTTGTGTCCAAGGGCTCACTAGGTATTGGGGGGTTCATTGGGGGTTCCCTGTGTGGCCAGGGATCTATCCAGCCTCATCCCCCAAATGGTGTGGGTACCTGAAGCATCTCTGAGATGTCACCTGCAACCGGGAGCACAGCAGGCTGAGGGACGCCAGGCTAGGGTATAGGTACAGCCTAAATCCTCCTGTCACCTTGTTCAGGAGCCACGTTTTGTCAGGGCAAGGCAACCCTGTGCCTGGTTCGCCCAAGGCTTGCAGCAGGGCCCACATCTCCATATTCTCTTGCCCTTCTGCTCTGAGAAGAGGCACTGACAAAGGGGGCTGAGGGGCACCCTGGGGCCAGCCAGCTGTCTCATTGGCATCATGTTGGGTGCATTGAATTGTGGCCCCTGTGGGTCAACTGCAGTGGGAAGCAAGGTGGAGGCTGCTTGTCCCCACCAACACTGACCCAATTAGGGAGCCCAGTGGAAGAAGACAGCACCTGGGAGACCTGAGATGGGTGGTGGGTGGCTCCTCTTCCAGCCAGTGTGAGGATTTCCCCAGCTGGGAGAGAAGCGGCCCCCTCCGAAAACCCCAGTACAGCAGCTTAGGATGAGCAGGCCACAGGACAGCACCAGAACCTCAAGGGCTCTCATGGAGGGTTGGTGGTATGGGGTGCAGGACATGGAGGGGTATCATGGAGAGTGGAGGGAGTAGGATGTGGTGGGGCTTTCAAGGAGGGTGGTCGAGATGCAGGATGTGGTGGTGATTATCATGGAGGGTGGCTAGTGCAGGACATGGTGGGGCTGGCACTCAGTGGGACCTGATGAGTTGCCAGCCCTGATTGCGACGGAGGGGCAGGAAGCGAGGAGGGTAAGCAGTGCAGCTCTGGAGTGTCTGCATGGCAGATAGAGAAGGAGCAATGTCCCTCCCCTCTGCCCCTTAAATGGCAATGGGGGAAACCAAGTCATGGCATGATGGCGCTTAGTTCAGAGGCCATCTGACACACCTCTGCACAGCTGTGGGCAATATACTTTCACCCCTCTGCCTAGCTTCAGAAGCCTCTGAATGACACCTGTGCTGTCTGCTCCTCATGCCAGCTGTCCTGGGCAGGGTTGAGAGCAGCTCTCTGCCTACCCTGGGAGCCCCAACTCAGCCCACCCAACTTTATTGCAGAGACACCAAAGTGAGATTGGATCCATGGCTCCTCTGGATCCCAGCGGAGACCAGAATCTCCGGGAAGACCTCAGTTTCTATCAGCTGCCTTGGAAAGGGTGCTGACATTGTTACTGTGCTGGCCTGCAGTTGAGTAGCATGAAGTGTCCAGCTGGTGAGAAACGCCACAGGACTTTCCTCCATTTGATAGAAGTCCCTATTGGCTGCAGAGCACCCCCTCACAGCAAGGGAGATGAACCTTCAGTGCCCTGCTCTTCTTGTCTCAGTGCCCTCCCCCGTCAGGCTGCGGTATGCAAGAAGATGTCCACTCTCTACTGACACTTCCAAGCAGCTCCTCTGCATTTTTAGGGCAGAGATAGGTGGGTCATGGAGCTGGTATTGTAAAAGGATTCTCCCTGCAGCCCCACCTGACGTGTCTGCAGGGAGTATGTCGTTTGCTTTATGGCCTTCTCCTCTTAAATGTTCCCAGCTCATTTCTGAGGTCCCTACCTGACTTTATGCTCTGAAATGACTTACATGTCTGGCAGGGTGGCCATGCTCAGAGTCCTCCCACATCATTTTAGAAAACTTTCCTTTGTGAATTAACCCTGGGCACCTATGGCTCTCCCTATTACAGGAGACTTTGCTACCAGCTTAGAGCTTAACAACAACCTAGAGACATGTGTCATACCAGGCAGAGGCCGTAGTGACAATAAAACATTGCACCATGTTTGAAGAAGGTCCTGGCCAGGCCTGTGACAGTGGACTCATCCTTCCTTTGCTCTTGCAAAGACCTGACCATGAAAGCTGCTCTGCTCTTGAGAAGAGCACGTCCTCCTCAGTGAGGACTGGAAGGGACCTGACACATTTTATATACAGCTTGTGAGGACTCATAACTTTATGTCATGTACCATAGCTCCCTCAGAAAATACAGTGATTTTCATAGCTGACTTTACAGGCAGTTTCAAGGGAAACCAGAGTACTCTTTGTTTTGAAAGGGTAGCTAGCAGACTTTCCGTTCTCTTCCACTTGCCACTCTCCCCTCCCACTCTCCCCCATTAGAGAAGAAAAAGAAATACTCCAGCCTACCATGATCAAGGGAGAATTTCAGAAGAGCACATTATCCTTTGACTCGTCTAGCAAAGTTAAAAATAAAAGAAAAATTAGGGGAGATATTTCCTGTGAAACTAGTAAAACAGCCTGGAGGCATGGTCTAACTCCTTAGCCCCTATTCTGCCTCCTCAAATTCAGTGTGAAGCAAGGCAGTCACATCTGAAGGGGAGCTAGTAATATTTTTGCTATGGAGAATTAGAGCAATGTATATATTTCTCCTTCCCTCCACCAGGACCCTGAACCTCAAAGCAGGACCCAGAACAAGCTCCAGATATCCAGCAAGTGCTTGGACAGAAATCGAAGGCAGCTCAGGTGTGCGCAATGCTGTTTATTGATATCAAGCAGCAGTGAGATACAGGAGGGGAGTATCCATGCGAGGGAAGGGCTGAGAGGCATCGGCAGAGTGTCTGTGAGGGGGTGATGACCCCTCCATCCTCCCCAATCAGCATTTCTAGAAATAGAAGGGGAGCAGAACTTGGGACAACCTGTGTCAGGTTGGAGGTGAGATGGGGGAGAAGAGCTCAGGATATTGACTATGTTTTACCCTCTAGTCTGAATATGGGTCAGGGTTTCCCAAATGCAATGTCCACCCCAGTCAGCAGACGCTGGATTATTTGATAGTGTGTGAGATGGGAACATGGTCCTCTTTGGCATATTTCTGTTAGCGGGGGAATAGTACTTTTGGAACTGGTGTGGGCTGATGGGGATGCAAATGCTGTGCACCAACACACTTTCTCCCCATAGAGCTTCTTTCCCCATATCAATCTTCTACATAGCCCAGCCCTGATTTCTTCTAGGGAACGCAATTGCACTGCTGATGGGTGACTTTAGGGGAATTAATATAGACGAATTTATTTAATCCAGTTACCGAAGAAAACCCTCATCCTTTGTCCAGGGGGCATGAAGCAGAACAGTGGAAAGGCTTTTAACAGACTGAGGCTAGTGTGTCCATTGTAGTATCCTCACTACATGCTGCATTATCTCCCAACTCCTCAAAGACCCTCTGGAAGGCAACCTTCAAAGAGACCAAGGAGCAATGCCTCTTGTAGCTCCCCACCAGGAAGTAGATAAATGGGTTGATGCTGCTGTTGATACAGGCTAGCAAGAAAACAATCTGGGACTGCCCGGCGACATAGTTAAACTGCTGTAAGAAGTTCCAGATGCTGAGGGGAAGAGCAAAGAGGAGGAAGAAGAGGACTGTGAGGAAGATAACGATGTAGAGCTTCCCAAGGTGATGTTGCTGTGACCCACATTGGACCTTAATGAACAGGACTGTGCTGAAGAGGACCATGGGTGGAGCAAAGATGAGGAAATTAAGGACATACATGGAGATGAGAGCCAGCTGGCAGTGCTCATGGTGGTGAGATATGCAGAGAAAAGTCACTGTAGCAATTACAGAGATGGAGAGAGCCCAGAGAAGGGCACACACAATGGCTGACAAGCGCTTAGGGCGGCGGCAGCGATACCAGAGTGGGCACAGGACGGATGCACACCTCTCAATGCTGATGGCTGCCAGGAGATATAAGCCCATGTTGTAGGCAAAGAGAGACAGCAGGAAAAGTGGCCTCAGATAGTTCAGGAGCTCTAAAGTGGAACAGGAGACATTCTCCACGATGTATAACAGGGCGGAGGTGAGCATGAAGAGGAGGAAGGTGAAGTCTGCAAAGGCCAGGTTGAGGATGTAAACGGTGACAGGATTCCTGCGGATGCGGAAGCCGAGGGGCCAGAGGACGGGGCCATTCCCCACCAGTCCGCACAGGCAGATGAGCAGTGTGGCACCGTCCAGGGCCACATCAGAGACATCTATCACACATTTGTAATCTCCATCGTCCGCTGGCGTGGGCTGTGTGGGTGGCAGGTACGTGTAGTTCAGCTCCATCCCCAGGAAGGCTGGGCTGGGTGGCGGGATCTGGTCTCTCGGCTGTGATCAGAGACAATTGGGTTAGTGACTCCGAGATGCTGGGAGCTGAGCCGTGCAGCCTCTTGCCTGCTCCCCACGCTGGAGGGGGAGGTCCACGCAGGACCCCCGGCAGGCAAGTGAGACATGTCCAGGGGACAAAAGTTATAGGTACCATGGGGATGGGAGAGACATATGGGATGGGAGGGACTGATTCTCAGAGAGGCACTGAAGGGAAGAGCAGGGTAGGATGAAAGAACAAAAGGAAGGAGTGCTGTAAGTTGCCAGGAGCGCATGGGAGGGATTTAATTATTGGCAGCGGAAGCTAGAGGAAAGAAAAGTGTGATAGGGATGAAGAAAAACATGGCATTTAACTTAGCTTTGGTGAAGCAGCAGACAAGGGCTTTCTTACTAGCTTGGCTTGGGCAGATGAGCGTTAGTGTCTCCACATCTCATGCTTCCTTCAAATCCATGTCTTTATTCTGATCTTCCAGGAAAGATGTGTGAGGAAGAATGTGCTCCCCGGGGTGCCAGGAGATCCCCAATATTATTACTCTTGATCTTCCTCTTGTCTTGTCCCCAGTAAGTCCTCTCTGTGGCATGCACGCCAGCTTTCCAGAATCACAGTGTGGGTTGTAAGGGAGCAGAGAACAGTTTTGTAACTATGGTCTACGTCAGAGCTCTGCTTCCTTGTTTTTATTTATCTTGATTCTTTTGCCATAGAGGAAGTGACTGCTGCCAGAAATTCTGCAAGCAGGATTTTCTGAATGGCTCCTGGCACACATCTGATTAAAAACGTTCTCCTACTAGCTGCAATGACTGTCCTGCTAATTGTTCTCTTGTATCATCTTCCCTTTCCTCCCCTACTTGACAGGTTTCTGTGGTTCTTCATTCCTCTTTCTGTCCATTGCAGGACTTCTCAGCCCCACAGCATCTGATACCTCAGCGTGAATATTACACACCCCTCGAGGAATCCTCTAGCACAAAAACTTCTGGAAGCAGATATCAGAGGAGTGGTTGTGTGCTTCTCAGAAGCAACTCTACCCTTCTGGGAAGAGTAGGGGGGGTTATCATTAAAATCTCCTACGGGCACAAGGGAACACACGTTCAAAGCAGAGCCAAGGATTAGCATTTGTTGTTAGTCTAATTGATAGACTATTAACAGCATAATCAAAGTACAACAAACCATTATTTTCAGTCTCAGGTTACAGCTATACTAACACTTATATTCCAGATTAGTTATTGATAATTTGTCTTAATAATACAATTACAATTATTAGACACCAGCTTTCTAGTGTCTACCTCTTTCTCTGGTGCTATGTTCACCCTTCCAACATGCTGTTAGGATGAACTGTAAGCATTCCCAGTTCTTTACCAGAAGTATGATGTTGGTGGTGGGAGTTTCCTCCTCCTCATTCCTGCGTATGCTAACAGTTATTTTTGTTCAATCCCACCCTTCTGGTAGTCCACCTACCACGGGCAGTTGGTACTGAGTTCAGCAAAAATGTTGCAAACTCTCCTATGCATGAGGACTGAGCAATGGCTCTTCTTGGAGGCATTCACCCTCCCCTACCTGGCCTTGTCTCACAATAACCTGGACAGGTCTGTGGGTGGCTTGCAGCTTTTCACTTTGGTGTATAGCCACTGATCCGTTTGCCAAGGGCTTAATTTTATAGCCAATATGATTCGCCCCATTAACATCATTGTTATGATGATTAAAATGACAGCTGTGGGATGTAAAGCTAGGTTCAAAGTGCCTGTAGCTGTAGAAGACCTTTCTCGGAAGGATTCCCAATCATGAGTAGTGCCTTGCCTCTTCTATTACCTTGGCAGCTTGTCATGTCTTTGTTACTGTGAGGTACTGTTAATTTCTGTCCTGGTAGCCAGACTGACTACCTGTTTAAAATTGCTGCAGTAGCCTTGGGGTGTTCTAAAACATTTTGTAAATGTGTAAAATTTGCCCCTAAAGGCACCAGAGTTATCTCATCAAATAATTCGGGTTTCAATGATTTCTGTAACATCAGAGTAATGTCTAAGGATTTTGTGTCACTAACATCACTTTCTTCATCTCAGGTTATATTACAAAATCACATATTATCAGTCTCTTTATGTATTAAAATAAAGATTAACCATGGTTTGTGCACATACAGCGGGCACACAAACAGCTGGATCCCACATATACAGTTATAGGTAGATTAGAAAGAGGAGGAATGATGTTTAAGTCCAATTTATTAAGCTAAAATCACCTGGTGGCTGCAGGGGAAGGTCTTTGGAGATATAGCTTGCAGGTTGATTTGCACTTTGTTGACATCCTTCATGAAAATTATTCAGAAAGTCCCATCTAGTTCGATAACCCAGTGATCTTGGTACTTGGTGCTAACCTCAGAGCGACTGAGGTTACTACAGGAAACATGGAGGTTATGCTCCCTAAGTGAGTGCGTGGACTTGAGCATGTATGGCCCTGGTGTTACCTTTTTTTCCTATACTATTGCTGTACGTTTCTAAAATTATCTGGACAGCTCCTATATAACAAAGGAACTTTTACATCTCATACACGTATGTAATGTTCTGATTATCAGTGTATCTTCTCGATTCAAGAACCTCTGGCTTTGAGCATGTGCTATTTCCTACCTATCAGTTTATACATAATCCTTTAAAAATATTCCTTACAGAAAACTTTCCAAACAATGCAATCTTTCTAATTGCATTGTACTTAAAGGCAAGATACCTTTTAACATTCAATTTACTATGGTAAGCATTTCTGCACCTTAGCTTCTTGTTGTGCTCCAAATATCATGTTTTATAAATATACAAATTTCCATGTGTGTATGTATGTGTGTGTGTGTATGTATATATATTTATACATACACACACACACATACACATACCTATATTGTATTAGATATTCAGACATTGAATTCATATATTAGTAATCTATTAAACATGATGACTATTAATTATAGGAGGTACACTCATCCTCACTGAGAGAAGCAAGTTTTCTCCTGTTTAGAGACGGAAACATCTTTAAATTGACTTAGTTGCTGGGCTGATAAATACTGAAAAGGTCAAACATTCCTTGATGATAATCAAGCACAAAGATACACTTTGTTTTCCCTGCTTCTGTCCCATTTACTAGACCATCTCCTTGTGGGGCCCACATGGGCACCATCCAGGGCCACATCAGAGATGTCTATCACACATTTGTAATCTCCATTGTCCGCTGGTGTGGGCTCTGTGGGTGGGAGGCACAAAATGAAGCGCTGTTTGACAGGTCTTCTGAGCAGTAGGATACGCTCCTTCCCTGAGAAGGAACTACCCTCTTGACACTGAATGTGGAGGGGATTTGCACTTCGAATACGGATTGCTTTTCAACTTGAGCCTAAATTTGAGTCCTTGCCATTAGGCCTGCAAGCCCTAGATCAGTTGAATCATAGAAATGTTGGTGGGAACAACAGGCCTACCTTATCAGCTGTGGTTTTAGCTATTCCACCTTCATGAAATTTAAACTAAATGCAAAGCTGGGGACATATAGCTGTGGTTGATCTTTCTGACATCCTTTGATTGTTGCTTCACACTATCAGGAGAGTTTCAGATCCAGAATATTTCTTGCTTCAGCTCAGTTCACAGCAGCAATAACAAGCCGTGACAAGATAGATAGGGCTACACCAGCAATGCCATTCTAGTCCAAGGTTCAGCTTTGCCTGCTGATCCTACCTGCTCAGACACATGGCCTACAAATCAGCTCTTGCCATGATTCCAGTCTTGCATAACAAACTGGAAGGCCAAGTAAGGCAGGGAAGGATGGAAGACCGGACAAGGGCACTTTCAGAGTCCCCTCCCCAGGCTGTTACCATCTCTTCTTATGGTTTTTACTTTTCCCTTCCATAGTCCAAACTGTTGTTATGTCCCAACCTGCCTTTCTCCCTTTTTTCTCCTGCTTTTTGCCTATATCACTTGCGTATTTCTCTGTTGGAGCTGGCTAATGTGCCTATGTGGACTGATGGAAAATGGGATCACAGTGTGTTTTCACTTATGTCACGTTAGAAGGAATTCCTTCACCATTGGGACCCTAATGTGGCTGTTGTCAGGTCTGGCTTCCTCCCCTTCAAAGCTGATTTCCTCAACATTTTTCTGGTGTGCAATTCTTTGTGTGTTCTTAAGATATTAACACTTCCAGCATTGAGATGTCATTTGAGCTGCTCTTTGTGGTCACAAAGCATGGGTCTGTAGCTCCCCGGCAATGAGAGGTGCTTGTCTGTCTCCTTTCCTTCTTGGAACTAGGACCAAGAACCACTAGGACCATGCCTTGTTCCAGGATCTCTCTTGCTCTTTCATAGGACTAGTGCACTTCCCATGTGCTTCTGACATGCCAAAAATCTGATGACTGGCTCTAATCTCCATGTATGTTCCCAATTTCCTCATTTTTGCCCCACTTATGGTCCTTTCCAGCATGATCCTGTTCTCTGAGGTCTGACATGGTTCTGAGCACTGTTGGCTGGGAAGCTCTCTATGTAAGTACTTTTCCCTTTTCTTCACTGTTCCAGTCACTGCTCAGAACTTTCTCCAGCCTGTGACCTGCTTCAGTTTAACCCACTGATGTATTTGTCCTGCCAGCCTCTGTAAGAAGCAACATCAACCCCTTTATTTACATCTTAGTCAGAAGTGACAACGAATGGCTCTTCAGCGCCATGCCTGGTCACCCTCCTAAGCACCTCTGAGGTGTTAACAGATTCATCAGATGGGAAGGGAGCTGCTTCTGTGCATTTGTGGCCTAGCACTACAGATGTCTTAGTGTTATTTCTGCATGAAGGCACCATGGGTCAGAGGATAGTAGGAGGTCACCTGCCCTGTCCCTTTTCCTCATGGACCTTGTGGTCACCCTATGAGGTCGTTCAGGAGGACCTGTGGCACACAGTTAATGCAAGCTAGTACTCCAGTTCCTTGCTCTCCATGGATACTGCAAGGGTAGATCGTAGGACTTCAGACCCTTGTCCCTTTCCTTCATTGGCCTGTACCCTTGCTGACACATTTCATCCTGGACTTAGTGAGGCATGGTGGGCTCTGCAGTTTCTCATATGTCTCAGTTCATGCACAGTTACCATGCTCCTTCCTGTTCCCAGGCTTTCTCCTTCTCCATAGCTCCTGTTCAGCTCCAGATGAAAATCTCTGTATCTTACCCTTGATTGCCCCAGTGGCCCCTTTGTAAAACTGGTCATATGGTCCATTCTCTACATTTGGCAGCCTCCATTCTTCTTCTGCTTCCCCCAGCTAAGTTTGTCAGCCACATCCTAGCTTCCTGAAGACAAGCAAAATCACAATGGTCACCACAACCACCCTAATTAGCCTTTGGAGGGGGGGATGGCTTCCAATTTGCAGAGTTAGTAGTGAACAAATATCTTTAGTGCATCATTCACAGAATCACAGAATGGTTTAGGTTGGAAGGGACCTCTGGAGATCATCTAGTCCAATCCCCCTGCTCAAGCAGGGTCCTCTAGAGCATGTTGCCCAGGATCACGTCCAGGTGGGTTTTGAACATCTCCAGCGAAGGAGACCCCACTACCTCTCTGGGCAACCTACTCCAATGCTCTGTCACCCTCACAGTCAAGAAGTTT